CACACGCTTTCGCCATCCTCCTGGAACTTCAGCGCTGCTGGAGTTGGGTTGTGATAGGAGTTCAGGAAGAACCATATTCATAGAGGATTTGGTTTGGAGGCCTCCTGGGCGGAACTCAGGGTTGCTGAGCTGCAGGCTGCCATGGAACACAACTCTTAGGCAGTGCTTTATTCCACCCTGGGCCTGTGCTTTGGAGCGTTCTGTACCTTAAACATATGCATATAAAATGCACATGGCAAACTGGTGCTCAGTGCTGGCATAGTCCAGCTTGTAGCCCTAAACATCTGTACTATTGACTAACACTAATCAGGCCCCAGAGAAATGTTTCTCCATATCTCTTGCTCTTATTTTCAAAACAAAAAGTGACTGTATCTGAAAGACATGGTTTGTGGGTTGTATCACTGCCAAACTGGGCTGGACACTGCTTCTGGAGTGCAGGGAGATCTGAGTAATGGAAGAAGTTAGATGAAAGACAAATCAGTTAGCCTAAGTTCTTATTTTCAGCATGAATGCAATGGATTCTTGTACAATGAAGCACCATTGCCAGTACTGTCAAGCACCCATTTTCCGACTTCTCCTTGGATTCCCACGTGTGGCTCCAGAGGCCCTCTGTGGTGTAGTACTTGCTACTGTTGCACATGTCAGTCTTGGATTGTTCTTCAGCATAAATATCGCTCTTCAGTTTGTACATACCGTCAATTCTCATTATTGAAGGTAGTTATGTTCTAAAAAAAGTCACTGGGAACACTGAATTAGCAAACACTGAGCCATTGCTCTTAGCGGAAATGCAGGTCTAGGTTCCTGCAAGCCTCTGGTCACATTTTATCAACTAATTAATACATAACCTCACTTTATGTATGTTTCTATTTAGACACCTTTTAAAATATATATTATTATATTGTATATTTTAAAACAGGTAGAAGAGAGGAATTTCAATATTCTCACCACAAATAAATGATAAATGTTTGAAGTTCTGGATTTACTATTTAGCCTGATAAGATAATTACACAATGTGAATATGTACTGAAACATCATATTGTGCCCCATACATATGTACAATTACGTGTCAATTTAAAATGAAATAGGCCAGGCACAGTGACTCAAACCTGTACTTCCATCACTTTGGGAAGCTGAGGTAGGAGGATTGCTGGAGGCCAGGAGTTTGAGACCAGGCTGGGCAACAGAGGGGTACCCCGTCTCTACAAAAAATTAAAAATTGGCCACATTTGGTGGTGTGCACCTCTTGTCCCAGCTACTCGGGAGGCTGAAGTAGGAGGATCGCTTGAGCCTAGGAGGTCAAGGCTACAGTGAGCCATGATCATGTCACTGCACTCCAGCCTGGGGAACAGAGCAAGACCTTATCTCTAAAAAATAAATAAAAGAAAACTTAAAACAAATAAAAATAAAATAAATATATTATCAATTCTTTAACAGTGAGTTCACAGCCAATATTACTGTAACTCACGCCTGAATGAAGCATACCTAACACCTGTATTTTCTCAGTAAAGCACATGAAAGCCTCTTGCACTTAATGACACTATGTAGCACTTTAGCACTACATTTGGGAGCCATTTCAAACAGTGTAATCACTGAAAAAATGCAAAAATTAAAAAATCATGACACTAAATAGATTGAGGAAAGGACACTTTACAGAGTACAGCTAAAGAGAGAGGTCAGAGCGTCACCCTGTTTGACCTCAGCTTAGGAATGTTTGGTAGGGTAACTCCTTTTTCATTGCTCTGCACAAGGCCAGCAAATGGCCTCCAAAGCACTGAGTATTGATTATGAGGTGGCAAAGAAATTTTAGCAAGGAAGATAATTCATCAGTATGGAATCTGTGAATACTGAGGATCAGCAGTGTGTGGATCTTGATGCAACTTGTGTGGAATGAGACTAACTTTTTATATTACATTAACTAGTTGGGACTGGAACACTAAAATTGTAAATAGCTTTTTAAAATAAAAAGATATAATCAGATTTCATTACATTTTCAATAAACAAAAGAAAAATTTCATCTTTTTTGAATAATTTTGGTCTAAAATGTTCATATTCACTAGTTATAACATAATTTGGCTTTTACTTTTAATAAACAAATATTTTAGAAGAAATTCAAAACGAATTTTTACATTTCCTTATATTTTTGTGAAAATCTATTAAAATTTTGTGTATTTTCAATATATTTGCTTTTTTTAAACTCCAACCTCATGACATTATGCTTTCATTAATTGTTTATAACATTACTGTTAATGGAAAACAAATTAAGCTAATATTTTATTAGAATAATATAATTAATAATGTTGCTAAAATCAAGGCAAGAAAATTAGTTTTATAGAATAAAGGCTGTGATAACATGTGAATTACGTACATCTTTATTTTGTTACTCAGCTAGATCTTGCCAGCCCTCCGCAGACCAGACATGTCTTACAATCATAAAATCATGGCCAGGTGCAGGGGTCACACCTGTGATCTCAGTATTTTGGGAGGCCAAGATTGGTGAGGGGATTGCTTGAGCCCTGGGGTTTGAAACCAGCATGGCCAACATAATGAAGTACCTAAAAATACAAAAATTAGCTGGGCATGGTGGCGTGTGCCTGTAGTCCCAGCTACTTGGGAGACTGAGGGAGGAGAATCGCGTAAGCCTGGGAGGCAGAGGTTGCAGTGAGCCGAGATCACGCCACTGCACTCCAGCCTGGGCAACAGAGCAAGACTATCTCAAAAAATAATAAATAAGTAAATAAAATAATAAAATTCAAACGTCTTTAATAGTTTGATGACCTGCAGTCATATAAAAGTCAGAGCTTATACATATTTAAAATTTTTGTTGTCACAAAGATAAATGTATCAAGGTAGAAGATAGAACACGTTTTATTTAACAGTTTTGTTGTTGTTGTTGCTGTTTTGAGATGGAGTCTCACTGTGTCGCCCAGGCTGGCATGAAGCAGTGTGATCTCACCTCATTACAACCTTTGCTTCCCAAGTTCAAGAAATTCTCCAGCCTCAGCTTCCTGAGTAGTTGGGATTAAAGGTGCCCACCACCACACGCAGCTAATTTTTTGTATTGTTTGTTTGTTTGTTTGTTTGAGACGGAGTCTCACTCTGTTGCCCAGCTGGAGTGCTGCTGTGCGATCTCAGCTCACTGCAACCTCCACCTCCTGGGTTCAAGTGATTCTCCTGCCTCAGCCTCCCGAGTAGCTGGGACTACTGGCACGTACCACCACGCCCAGCTAATTTTTGTATTTTTAGTAGAGATCGGGTTTCACCATGTTTGGCCAGGACGGTCTCTCGATCTCTTGACCTCATGATCCGCCTGTCTTGGCCTCCCAAAGTGCTGGGATTGTAGGCATGAGCCACTGTGCCTGGCCATTTTTTGTATTTTTGGTAGAAATGGGGTTTCACCACATTGGCCAGGCTGGTCTTGAACTCCTGACCTCAAGTGATCCACCCGCCTTGGCCTTCCAAAGTGCTGGGATTATAGGTGTGAGCTACCACTCCTGGCTCCTTAGGTTTATTGGCTTGATGTATTACCTCTTGATATTTAGACACATGGCATGTGGAGCTCCACTCATGGCCTTGTGCTGGGGCCCATCCACATCTTGGTGGACCTGCCTCTGTGAAGATTGAGGGTATAGGCAGTATTCTGGGGTCTGTATCCCAGAAAAGCAGCAGCCCAGCTTAGCACATATTCTGATATTCTGACTAGGTCTGGCCCCAAATTGCAGAAGAACAGATGGCTGCAGCATCAAGTCAGTTAGAAATTCTCCAATAATAGTGCTAAACATTGCCACAGGGTTGGGAAAGGCCACCCTAGCAGGCTGGTGGCTGGAAGTGCAGAAATTCAGAAAATGCACAGTGGCTGTGACGACCACTGCAGGGAGAGAATCCTTGAGAAGCTGAAGGGCTCAGAGGGCTGCTTGTTCTGATGAACAGAACATGAAATCAACTCATTTTGCTGTCCTGCTCTGGAGGAAATACAGTGGGCCTCTGCAATGGGACTCGTCCAGGTCCCAGGCACCATCCTGAGTGTGGAGAGTTTCAGGCAATAGAAGCTGGGTCTGTCCTGAGGCCTCCACCTCTGACTACCTCCAAACCAAAGCTTCTCTAGAGCATATTTATAGAAAGCTAAATATAAAAGGTGGAGCCCACCCTCTCAGATTAATGACATCACCTCCAAGTACCAAAGCTGGGTCCTTCAATCAGATTTTAAGAATTATTTTTGGCCAAGCGCAGGGGCTCATAGCTGTAATCCCAGCACTGTGGGAGGCCGAGGCTGGCAGATCACTTGAGGCCAGGAGTTCAAAACCAGCCTGGCCAACATGGTGAAATCTCATCTCTACTAAAAATACAAAAATTAGCTGTGCATGGTGGTACATGGCTGTAGTCCCAGCTACTTGGGAGGCTGAGGCAGGAGAATGTCTCTTGTACAGGAGGTAGAGGTTGCTGTGAGCTGAAGTCATGATACTGTACTCCAGCCTGGGCTATAGAGCAAGATTCGGTCTCAAAAAACAAATGAAGATTTCTTTATAATCATTTATAATTGTTCAGCATATGCAAAGCCTCAGGGGACTCAGAAAACAATCTGGGTTCTACTTCCAGCTTCTAGTTTCTGTACTAACTGCGGGACCTTGGACAATTCCTTTCACCTTTACAGGCCTCTGTTTCCTCATCTTGAAAACAAAAGTACGGTCTTAGATCATTTGTAAGGTCCCTTTTGCTGTGCAACTCTACAGTTTCTCTGCCAAAGGGATTCCTTCTGTGTGCCTTGGACTACATCCAGTATCAGGATTACTTACTCCAAAAGGCAGTTGTTCCTTTGTTTGCTGGCCTCCGGGGAAACCCAGACATTTTATGATGTCCCTGCTCTGGGGGTGGCAGGGAGTGCCTGGCGCCTGGTGCCCTCTACCTCCAGCCCTCGTCATTGGCATTGGCCCAGCCTCTTTGGTGGAGGTCATCCCACCCTTGTTATGTGGTCAGACATGCTACCTTCAGGGAAGTAGTCACAAGACAATACTCCCTTTGATAGAGAGAAATCCTTTCAGCTATGGTAGGCAGCCCCTGAACTCTATCATGGGATCCATTTGGTAGTTTTAAATCATGGCTTATTTTCGTTAACGTAGTCAATAAATATTTAATGCGGAACAATAATATCTACCTCATCGTATTGCTGTGCAGAGTAAACTTGTTCATATACAACTTTGAACAGTGCCTGACACGTAATAAATTCCAATAAATGTTCACTACGGAGGGCGACTGCATGTGACTGCATTCTAGCAGGGGCTAGGTGCTAGAACGCCACAGGAGCAAGATCAGCTCCTGGAGGAGCTCAGAGAGGTGAGATAGATGTGCCCGCAACAAGAGTGTGCTAGGAGAAGAAATACAACACAGAAGGATCCAAAGCCATGGGAGTACAGGTGAGGGAGGTCCTGATTCTTTGAGGAGGGAGAAAACAATGGAGGGTGAGGGGGACATCTGTCACTACCCCATACCCAGCCTCACAGCCCTGCCTTCTTCACATAGAATCCATCTTTCCTGTGGGGGATCTATTCCATAGAGTCACGTAGGAAGGTCCCAGAGGAGGGGGAGATAGTGCAAGTTTGGCCAACGGGGTATTCTATCTTCCTGCTGCGATCACTGGTTGAGGGCTGAGGGGTGCTCATGGGGCACACGCTGGGGCAATCGGAAAGCTCCTGGGGACTTTCACCAAATCTGTTAGAGAAGCGTTCACTCTCTGTTTTTTTGGGATCGTGAGATTTAAGGACAACACAGGTCTGGAGCTCCCAGTGTGACTGTCTTTAACTTTAGGTGGAGGAAAATGAAAGTTAAGTCGGGGGAAAAACTGGAGAGAGAGAGAGGGAGATAGAGGCCATGACACTCTGGACTTCTGGGTCCTCTTGTGCCTGAAGCTACAGCCACTCCCAGTTACATGAATCAATAAAGTACCCCTTTGCCCAAGTTAAACTGTATAAGACTTCTGGCATTTGCAACAGTCAGCCTTGGCTAATACAGAAAGTGGTATTTTTTTTAAACACAGAAAGTTTTAAAGAAGAGAGGACATGTGAGCTAGAGTTTAAAGAACATGCTCACCAGCCAAACAAGTTATATGTTAATCTTTGGGATTCAGGAACAAATCATACTTCCCAGGATTTCTTGGGATGTCTCAAAACTCATAAATTGTTCTGTATTTTTATAATACTATTACGCTGGGTGCTGTGGCTCACACCTGTAATCCCAGCACTTTGGGAGGCTGAGGTGGGAGGAGTTCAAGACCAGCCTGGGCAACATAGTGAGACCTTGTCTCTACTAAAAGTCAAAGAATTAGCCAAGTGTAGTGATGTGCACCTGTAGTCCCAGCTACTTAGGAGGCTGAGGTAGGAAGATGGCTTCAGCCCAGGAGATCCAGGCTGCAGCGAGCTATGATTTCACCACCATGATTTCTTCAGCCTGGGAGACAGTGCAAGATTCTGTCTCAAAAACAACAACAACAACAATAACAACAACAACAACCCAACAATTTACATGTTTTTAAATGATAATGGAGTGACCATAATAAGAAATAATGAGGCTGGGGGTGGTGGCTCACACCTGTAATCCCAGCACTTTGGGAGGCTAAGGTGGGTAGATCACCTGAGGTCAGGAGTTCGAGACCAGTCTGGCCAACATGGTGAAACCCAGTCTCTACTAAAAATACAAAAATTATCCATGCGTGGTGTAATCCCAGCTACTTGAGAGGCCAAGGCAGGAGAATTGCTTGAACCTGGGAGGTGGAAGTTGCAGTGAACCAAGATTGGGCCGCTGCATTCCAGCCTGGGCAACAAGAGTAAAAGTGTCTCCAAAAAAAAAAAAGAAAGAAACAATGAATTATGTTCCTGTGGCAGGATTATCATAAATGGTTCAAAAGCTTTCTACTTAAAAAAAGGTACAATAAATGCATAATTTATTATTATGAGAAAATATATGATGCTTATAGATTATTTCAATAACATAAAAATAATCTCTATATGATAAAGATATTGGGTAACAGAAAACACTAGAAGAGAAGATTAACACCAAATAAACACCAGGTAAAAGTCATTAGAAGTTTAAAGATACTTTCTCAAATAATAAAACATTATTGTCAAAGGAAATGTTTAAACACAGCATGAATTGCCCTACACAATAATCTTGATTTTTGTTTCATGAGAAATACTGCAGAGGGAGAAAAACGCCTTTCATTTTGTGTTGACACAGGTTGAATTAACAGTGCACGTCTGAGAGCATCTTCAAGCTGGGCATTAGGGTACATGTTGCTTCCTCTAATCTGGTTTCCTAATTAATGATGAAACCATTGTCTCCTTGCCCTGATTTTGGTTTTGCCGTGGAATCGATACAGGTGTTGCTAGTTCAGACTTTAGACTGTTCCTGATTTCATATCTCAGTGTCCCATGCCCACCTTATCTTCTCTTTAGGTTTCTTCCCTGCTGGGGTTAAGCTGGACACTCCTCGGGTTCAGCAAGACCCGTCCAGCTCATGGGAAGGCCAGCACTCTCAGTCTCGCCAGGCCCCTGGGGTCTCCAGGCAGCTGTCAGCCACACAGCGCTGCTCACTGCTGGGCCTTCTGAGTCTTGCCCTCTGTCCAGCCCTCTCCCAGGGACCCCCACACTCACACTCCTGGCCCCCTCTTCCAGGGAGCTTCTCCTCTCCAGTTCCCTGCCCCATAAATTCCAGTGACTTCAGAAGCTCCAATCACACTGAACTCTTCCTTCTCAGCTCAGTGAAACCACATCTCTTCATCTCTGTACTGTGGTCCAGAGAGTGCCCCCAGGGGTGGATGTGGGGTCACCTGTGGGTTCCCGTCGTCTCAAGGATCACAGCCCTGTGTCCCTTGGGGTCTAATTCTTGGAAACAGTTGTCTATTTTGCCTATTTTCACAATTTTTTAAAGCAGGCTAGTGCCTGTTTAATATCTGTTGCTCCCACATGGCCAGATATGAAAGTCCATCTCTTATTTTTCATTAAAAACATGTTGTGATCATGAGGGTGCTGTTTATAACATGTATACTTTGTTTTGGAGTCACAATTCTACTCTTTTCTCTCTTTAATGCCATAATTCTACATTTAAATGGATTCAGTGTTCTCTCTAAGTCTTTCTACAGTGCTCTCTCCATTGTTGAGTTTTTCATGTGATTCATTCTCCTTACAGGTTAGATTTTAAAACAAGCAGGGTTTTTTTCCCTCCCAAAAAGCACTCACAGGTGTTACATTCCTTATGGTGTTTTCATGTTTGGGATTGTGCCTTGGTCTTTATACTGAGATGGCATCTTGTCTGTGTCTCATTTTCTCAGTCATATTTTTTTTAACAGACAATGTGCTGCTGTCTTCCTTAATTATTTCCTAGTGATAACAATATTTTAAAAAATGTTTAGGGTGAATGTGATGGCTCATGCCTGTAATCCTAGGTCTTTGGGCAGTTGAGGTGTGAGAATCACTTGAGCCCAGGATTTTGAGACCAGCCTAGGCAACATGGTGGGACCCCATATCTATATTTAAAAAACAAAAAAACAAAAATAGGTGTGGTTGTGCACATCTCTGGTCCCAGATACTCGGGAGATTGAGGCAGAAGAAGTCCTTGAGCTTGGGAGGTGGAGGCTGTAGTGAGCTATGATTGGGCCGCTGCACTCCAGCCTAGGCAACGGAGTAAAACCCTGTCTCAAAACATGTACACACACACATACACGCATGCACACAAAAAAATGTTTAGAATTTTGTTTCCTTTTTCTATAAAATACCGATACCTACAACACCCACGTAGAATCAACATATTATACACCATCAAAATAAAATGAACACGAGTTCACTGCCCACTTCAGAACCAGAATGTTGCCACCACAGCCCCCTGTGCTCCTGCCCAAGGCCTCTCCCACCCCTACCCTCAGAGAATCATTATCCTGGCTTCTTTTAGAATTATCATTAATTTTTTCTTTTTTCTTATCTTTTCTTTCTTTCTTTTCTTTTTTCTTTTCTTTTCTTTTTTTTTTTTTTTTTTTTGGGGCAGAGTTTTACTCTGTCACCTAGGCTGGAGTGCAGTAGCTCAATCTCAGCTCACTGCAATCTCTGCCTACCAGATTCAAGCAATTCTCCTGCCTCGGCCTACTGAGCAGCTGGGATCACAGGCACGCGCCACCACGCCAGGCTGATTGTTTTGTATTTTTAGTAGAGACGGGGTTTTGCCATGTTGGCCAGGCTGGTCTGAAAATCCTGACCTCAGGTGATCCATCTGCCTGGACCTTCCAAAGTGCTGAGATTACAGGTGTGAGCCACCGCACCTGGCCAATGCTTTTCTTAAATAATATATGATTTAATTGTTGAATGTTTATTTCATTTTTATTGTTTTTAAACATGGTAAATGCAGTATGTTCCTAAGAGTCAGTCACCTTGCTCTATGTAGCTGTAGTTCATTTATTTTCAGTGCAGCTGAGTATTTCAATTTTATGACTATATTATAATGCATTTATCCATTCTCCTGTCAATGACAACCGTTTCCAGGGTTTTCTTATCATAAGCAATGCTGTCACGAACATACCTGGGCTTGTCTCCTAGTATACGCAGCAGTAACTCTTGTAGGATATGTATCCACAGGTAAAATTGCTGGGGTTGTAGGATATGTATATGGTCAGCTTTACAAACTAATGCCAAGTCTTTTTCTAGAGTTGTTAAACAAATGTAACTCCCATCGCCGGGGCGTGAGTTTACCTGGCTGCGCTTTGTCTTCACTGTGTCCTGCTCTTGAGGGTTGCTGTGAAGAAGGCTGAGTCCTCCCCGGGCTTTACACCCCTGGCATGGTTCGCTTTTTCTCTTAAGGTACTTGAATAATTTTTTTAACACCAAAGTTCACTAATTTAATTAGAACACATTTTATTTTTGTTTTGTGTCAGGAGCTAGCATGTCTGGGCTCCGCTCTGCCCCCTGCAAGATTTAGGAGATGTGTCAGGAGCTACTCCTCCGAGCTGCGTGGTACACACCAGTCCCATGGAGGGTAGAACCTTAGGCTTTGCATCGTTGCGAAAATCAGTCTGTAGCCCTGGAGCCTTCACTGTGGTCAGAATCAGCCAAGTTGTTCACTTCCTCCAGTTTACCTGTATCTCCCCAGTAGGCATTTCTACTGCCTTCCAGTCAGAGAAGGAAATGGATAAATAATCCTTTGTGCTTGGCTTCTCTCAGCATTGTGGGTGTTTGTGAGAAGTGTCAGGATTTCATTGGTTCTTCCCTGCAGCTTCCGGGGCCGTGGGGACCAAGTGAGGAGCCAGGTCCTGTTAGGCCTCTCCACTCTGCTCCAGAATCTAGCTTATTTTCATGGTTAACAATTTTCAAAGTTTATTGCTTCTTTCCTTATTTGATTTCTGTTAGTGAATTTCTCTTATTTTTATTTATTTATTTATTTATTCTGAGATGGAGTCTCGCTCTGTCACGCAGGCTGGAGTGCAGTGGCATAATCTCTGCCTCTCAGGTTCAAGCAATTCTCCTGCCTCAGCCTCCCAAGTAGCTGGGATTACAGGCACCCACCAACACACCTAGCTAATTTTTGTATTTTCGGTAGTGACGAGATTCCACCATGTTGGCCAGGCTGGTCTCAAACTCCTTACTTCAAGTGATTCACCTGCCTTGGCCTCCCAAAGTGCTGGGATTACAGTCATGAGCCACTGAGCCCAGCCTTGTTTATTTTTACCTCTTTTGGCTATTTTTGAGGTATTGGCAGAGCAAAACTCTGTATTAGTCCATTTGCACACTGCTATAAAGAACTACCTGAAACTGGGTAATTTATTAAGAAAAAAGAGGTTTAATTGACTCACAGTTCCACAGCCTGTATAGGAGGCATGGTTGGGGAAGCCTCAGGAAACTTACAAGCATGGCCGAAGGTAAAGGAGAAGCAAGCATGTCTTCACATGGCTGCAGGAGACAGAGAGAAAGCAAAGAGGGAGACGCTACACACTTTCAAAAACCAGATCTCGTGAGAACACTATCACGAGACAGGACTTAGGGGATGGCGCTAAACCATTAGAAATCACCCCCATGATCCAGTCACTTCCACGAGGCCCCACCTCCACCATTGGGAATTATATTTTAACACGAGATTTGGGATCAAATTCTATGAGAAAATTTCAAACTGCTGTTTAGTCAAGAAGTCCTTTATTTATTGTATGTTAGCTGGCTACCCCACTAGAATGTAAATTTCGTGAGTGCAGGGATCTTGTTGGTTTGTTTTATCCTTGTGTCTCTGGATGCTAAAACAGTACTTGACATATTGTAGGTCCTCAATAGGTATGTGAAGGATGGATGGATGGGTGGATGAAGAAGCAAAGAAATTGATGAGGAGGCTTTTACCGTAGTTCAGGCAGGGGCAGTGTGGGCCTGCAGTGGGGCAGCAGTGGGGAGGAGGGGGTGGCTTTGAGGCACATTGGAAGTTGGGGTAGAATGGAGAGAGCTTGCTAACTCAGGTAGAAGGAGAAACAGTGAGTAAGAAGGAAAGCCAATCTCTTAAGATAACTGAAGACTCTGGGGTTTGTAGCTTGATGAACAGGTGTTGTGGTTAGTTTCTTCACTGAGAATGGAAACACCAAAGGGGCCAATCATACTAGTTTAATTTGGACTTGCTGACTTTGATATCGTTTGGCTGCTTTAAACACGAGGCTGGTGTTCAGGAGAGAACAGAGCTGGGCAGTTTGGGGAGGCATCAGCAAAGGTAGAGGCTGAAGCAATGGGATTAGAAGAGTAGAGGAGAAAAGAGAATGGGGCTGAAAAGTGAGGCACTGACTCGTATTTAAAGTTGGGGGGGGTCACAGGCAAAGAAGTCTGGTTCCATGAGGCTCTAGGGCCCAGAAAATTTTTTTAGAAATAAATCTTAAAAAGATATGCAGATGTATAATACTGCAGTTATGCCCAATGTAACTTCTGTTCCACCTTCTTCCCCATCCTGCCCTTACCCTTATTACTCCCCCATCAAATGTTTATTTGCAAAGTTGCAAAGAGAAAATGCAGATTTATATAATCTCAAAAAGTGTAAAGACAACTGCCTTTAGCAATGGGAATGGTTTACTTCTCTTTTCATTCCCCGAAGTTCATGGGATAAGTCATGTAAAGTTCTGAAAATTCAGCAGAAACTAGGCATTTTAGTACCTCAACAGTGGAGCCAAGGAAGATAGGATGGACAAACACCAGCAGGAGATGCTGAATGTCACACAGCAGGACAAGGGAAGAGCCTGGGAAGGGTCACCCTCCATGATAACACAGGGTCTGGAAACAATGACATCAACATCGATCATGAGATTTGAGATTGTGTTGGCTCTCTTCTTGGTTCGGAGGGGAGATCTCGGGCTGGGGAAACATTCCATGGTCTCCCATTGTACCCCTCTCCTTACCTGCACCCCCTCTATCCGACATCCTTGGACTTACTGTTGGCTGGGGTGGTGATTTCATTCAGAATCTCCAAGTTGATTGTCTAAGGGTGCACTGACTAACACAATCTCTGGGCATTGTTACAGGAATTAATTAAGGGCCAGCTTCAGTGGCCTACGCCTGCAATCCAATGCTGTGCGAGGCTAAGATGCAGGATTCCTTGAGGCCAGGAGTTTGATTCTAGCCTGAACAACAGAGTAAGACCCTGTCTCTATGAAATTTTTTTTTTTAGATGGAGTCTCAATTCTCCTGCCTCAGCCTCCTGAGTAGCTGAGACTACAGGCGCGTGTCACCACGCCCAGCTAATTTTTGTATTTTTAGTAGAGACAGGGTTTCACCATGTTGACCAGGATGGTCTGGATCTCCTGACCTCGTGATCCACCCACCCCCGTCTCCCAAAGTGCTGAGATTATAGGCGTGAGCCACCATGCCCAGCCAAAAATTTTTAAAAAAATTAGCTGAGTGTGGTGGTGCATGCCTATAATCTCAGTCATTCAGGAGGCTGAGGCAGGAAGGAACTCCTTGAGCCTAGGAGTTCAAGGTTGCAGTGAGCCATGATTGCACCACTGTACTCTAGCCTAGATGACAGAGTGAGATCCTATCTCAAAAACAAGAAAAAAAAGAAAGAACACTGGAGAATTTAGGTTGAAGTGGAGTTACCTTGGATTCCAAGGGACTTCAGTTACTGAATTGCTACATGCAGCTCTGAGCCAGAAAAGAATGCCTCCCTCAGACAGATAGGAGTTTGTATTTTCACAAAGTTTCATCCTTCTTCAGTCAACTAGTTGAGACTTTAGAATAAGGTGTACTGCCAATTGTCACAAAAATAAAATGATAATTGCTAATAGCATGAATGGATAATTACTGCTAAATTAATACTACTTTTTTTTTTTGAGATGGAGTCTCTCTCTGTTGCCCAGGCTGGAGTACAGTGGCATGATCTCAGCCCACTGCAACCTCTGCCTCCCAGGTTCAAGCGATTCTCCTGCCTCAGCCCCCACTAGTAGCTGGGATTACAGGTACGCGCCACCATGCCTGGCTAATTTTTTCGTATTTTTAGTAGAGATGGATTTTCACCACATTGGCCAGGCTGGTCTTGAACTCCTGACCTCAGGTGATCCACCTGCCTCGGCCTCCCAAAGTGCTGGGATTACAGGCATGAGCCACGGTGCCTGGCCAATGTTTTATAATCTCTGGGCAACAAGAGCAAAATTCTGTCTCAAACAAAACAAAACAAAACAAAACAAAAACAAGTAAGTAAATTGCCCAGTGTCACAGAGCTATGAAATAGAATAACTATGAATCAAATGTGGAGACCTGCACTGACCACACCGTTACAAACAATAAGCTTTTTTCTAACCTGCCCTCATCTCCCTGTCCGGGGAATTACCATTGCTTTTCTTTTTCCACATCAACATCTCTTATCACTTTCTAATAGACTATATATTTTACTTATTTATTACATTTGTTCTTTTTTATAACCCTGAAATAACTGAGCTTCAAATTATGTTTATTCTTCACTGCATTCTTCCTCATCTAGAATGTAAACTTCAAGTGGACAGATTTTGAGCTGGGCATGGTGGTATACACCCAAAATCTCTGCTACTCAGGAGGCTGATGGATGAGGGTCCCTTGAACCCAGGAATTCAAGACCAGCCTGGGCAATATAGTGTCTTTTTAAAAAAGATAGAACTTTAATCTGTTTTATTCATGGATATATTCTTAGATGCTGAGATGCAGGCCTGGCAAATGCAGACATTCATTTAAATAAATATTTGTTGAATGAATGCTTTATATCAAAATCAGTGATCTGAACTACTACAATGACCTGCCTCCTTGTATGTAATAAATACGAATGTTTTTCAAAGGTAGCCCCAGGATAACCCGTGAGCATGGGTCAGGGCTCTGGCGACAGTTGCCTGTGGGTCCATGAAGATGACGTGGGTTGTGAGAAAGAGCAGGTTCTGGACTCTTCCATCCCTTCCAGCCCAGCCCATCCTGGTTCTTTCACCTGCCTCTGTTTGCTGCAGGGAGCTGCCCAATGGGTCCTTGACTATACCCCTGTTATTGACAGCGATGAGTAATGCGGGCTCTGCAGCAGTGCATGCGGTCATATCACACCCCGGGATGCAGAGTTCAAAGGAGTGAAGAGCTGTCCTGGAGAGGTGACCCTGAGAGACATCATTACTGAGAGAAAGAAAGAAAGAAGGAAAGAAAGAAAGAGATGCTGTGAGAACTCACTTGCTCATTTGCCTGGAAGTCATCCCTGGGGCTCCAGTGGACCCTCTGGGCTCTTTAGGTGTGCAGCCTCTATGCCTGCAATGCCTGCTTTCCCAGCCTCAGAGGGTGGTTAGGATACATGGCTCAGCCCATCAGACACACCCACCCACCGGACATTGACATGAAGAAGTTGGGCCATGGAGAAGCCATCTTGGTGGTTATTGTGGTTATGGTGGCAGCAGCATGGCCATGTCCAGGAGTATCAGAGCTGCAACAGGAGCTGTGTTGACAACACCTTATGTGGCATTGGACAAACTCTCAGGATGATTTGACCTGGGGAGACTCCCCAGTTCCTGCCCCATCTCTCCTTGATTTTCTGGCATTCTTGATGATTTTATGAGCTCCCCATATCTTCGTTATAACTTTATCTTGTGCTTATAGAAGCAATATACAGTTTTTGTTGCCTGCCATTGAGCACCCTGATCACTGCTGGGCCGTGCTCTGTGGTGCTTTAGGGCAGTAAGCACAGCAGAGTGGGGGCATGCAGGGAACACTAGAAAAGCAGTGGCCTCATAGACGCCTTCCTAACCTCCTACAACCTATTATACCCTACCTCAGTGTGAGCAAGTTGGCATTCTTTGCATCTCACAATTTGAAGCCATTCATCTTTGTGCTTTTCACCGTGTCTGTTCTCTTTGGAGAAGATGTCTATTTCTGAAGGTACTGGGCATTTGGGAATCCTGCACACGATGTGAGTGAGTTGGGTTGGCATTGTCACCACTTGGAGACACAGTTTAGATGAGAAACTTTCAACCTGTGCATTCATGCCCCAGGGTTCCTTTGGGAGAGATTCTTCTAGCTGCATTTCCAGAAATTTTAATAGAATCATGTAACAACAAGCACAGAAGCTGTACTCAGGAGACCAGGTGAAGTAAGAGCATCCCAGCCTATTCCCAGCTTCTCAGCTCCGCCTTAGCAGGAAGCACATGGCCTCTAAGACAGAAAAGCAAAGCCCCAGCCCAAGATGAGCTCCTTCCCTCACCCCTGCTCTGTTTACCTCAGCTTTCCATCCCAATCAGGTGTTTTAGTTTAGCACAGAGATGGGCACATAATGAATATCTTTAAAAGCACTTTAGGCTGGGCAGAGTGGCTCATGCCTCTAATCCCAGCATTTTGGGAAGCTGAAGTGGGAGGATCACTTGAGTCCAGGAGTTTGAGACCAGTCTGGGCAACATAGGGAGACCCCACCTCTACAAAAAAGTGAAAAAATTATCTGGGCATGGTGGTGCATGCCTGTAGTCCCAACTACTCAGGAGGCTGAGGCAGCAGAATCACTGGAGCCCAGGAATTCAAGGATACTGAGCCATGATCACACTACTGTACTCCAGGCTGGGCCACAAAGCAAGATCCTTTTTTTTGTTTGTTTTTTGTTTTTTGTTTGCAATCGAGTGCTAAACCATTGGATGGATGCTGGAGGCGACCTCAGAAGGGGAGAAAACACCCCCTTTTCAGGGCCCTAGAGAGCTGCTAGAGATGGGTGATGTAGCCTGGAACCTTAGTCCTGGAGGGCGGGGTCAGCAAGTGTTTATCTGGTGGTCACCAAATAAAAGGAGTGTCCACAACATGGAGATGCAAGGTCCTCCACTGAGGAGGCCTTGATGTGGGACGTGTCTGTGACAGTCTTGGCCGCCCTCTAAGGAGAAGCCTGAGGACCAGACTGTTTCACAGCCAACTTTGCCTGTGACTTCAAACCAGGTTTTAAGGTCCTTCTGTACTTGTTAGCCTTGGTTAGGATGTGGCCTAAGTAACCAGCTAAGTTCCAGTGTGGTAGGGCCCATGCTAGGGTCTTTCATTTACACCATGTTATTTCATCTTTCAAGATCCCTGTGGGGTAAGCAGCAGTATACCCATCTTGCAGATTAGGAAAGCGATGTGAAGAGAGGCTACCTAACTTCCAAATTCACATAGCTGTAGGTGGCAGAGCTGGGATTCAAACCTGTGTCCAGGCCAGGCATGGCGGCTCACACTTGTAATCCCAGCACTTTGGGAGACCAAGGAGGGTGGATCACCTGAGGTCAGGAGTTTGAGACGAGCTTGGCCAACGTGGTAGAACCCTGTCTCTACTAAAAAATACAAAAATTAGCCGGGCATGGTGGTGGGCACCTGTAGTCCCAGCTACTTGGGAGGCTGAGGCAGGAGAATCCCTTGAACCGAGGAGGCCGAAGTTGCAGTGAGCTGAGATGGTACCACTGCACTCTATCTCAAATAAATAAATAAATAAATAAACCCGCGTCCACTATGAACTTTTTAACCAAAGGACCTGATGGATAATAAGAATTAACTGATGAATAGGGAAAGTTCAGGTCTTCAACATCTTCTTCCAGGACCACAGTAATGGCATTCTATTTGAGCCCCTTGAGGATGTATTCCTTTAATCTCCAAATCAGTCCAGACAATTTCTCTTTGATTGTATAGCCCCTGGAGAATACAGCTACCTTATTTTTCCCTTGTTATTCTGAGATAGTTCAAGATCGGTCTCCTTAGAGACAGACTCTAAGATGGGTTGAAGTATTTCTGCCTGCAGGCATTCATGGCCCTGTGTGTGAGTGGGCTCAGCGATTTGCTTCAAAGCAGTAGAGGTGATAGGATTATTATCTTCTAAGCAACGGAGGTGATTGTGTCACATAAGATTGCAACTTCTGTCTTGGTAGCAGATGCTCTTTGTTGCCTTCTAAGCTTTGATGAAGCAAGTAGCCGTGTTGAGGAGGTTCACATGGCAAAGGACTGGAGAAGCTTCTGGCCAAAGCTGGCAAGTGGCTGAATCTCACCAACAACAATGTAAGCTTGGAA